CTGCGGCTGATTTCATGCGCGAGGTAAGCTGTCCACAAAGCGCTCGCCCAAGCGGAAAAATGCGCTGCTGCTGTCAGATCTCGATTGCAGAGAATCACATTGTGTTTGATGCAAAACCAACTCAACTAAATCAAAAGAAAAAAACACTGTAATTGTATATTTTTGTTTTCTCAAGCAAAGCAAATTTTAAAAGTCCACTGAAAACATATCTTTTTACATTTTTGGTCATACAACGTTGAAGATATACGTTACTGCCGAAGCGATAAATTAAATTGTTTTTTATAAAAACGTGGACTATATCAATTTTAGTAACAACAAACATCATATTGTTCCCTTTGTTTTGCGTATGCTAGTGTCGCTTACAGTTAAAGTCCTTCTCTGATTTTATTATTGTTTGCAAGGTTGCAACGTTACTTTGCGGTTTGGGTAAGAGCTTATTAGAAAATAAATACCTTGAATTTTTATATTAAGTAGAGCATGATCTCATAAATTGTGGATACATTTTTTATGTGTGATGAGAACTTTTTAAATATTTTTTAAAAATGTGTGTGGTGATGGAATCATAATAGAAAGGTAGTAAAAAGTTTTTAAGGTGGGTTTATTGTTAGTTTGACTAAGAAAGAGGAATTTGTCCAAAATTATATGTATTTTTATAAATATGACCAAAGAACATAAAAGTTCCCATAGTCTAAGAATCACCCATATATATATATATATATATATATGATCAAAACATCTATATAACAGAGAAGGGTCTTTTAAACTACACTTTTATAAACATTTTAAAGCGGCTTAGTGTCTTTTTGCATGGTTTGATAAAAACATCAACATTTTATTCATAAAGTTGGGCTACTAGTTCATTCAATAGTACTAGACTGGCCATGTTTACTTGCAACGACTAAACAGAGCGAATAAGACATTTTTGAAGGCAATTTACTGTACTTTAAAAAAAAATCTGACTTATGCTGTCTCTTTATCAAACTCTGAATATAAAACCACCTAATTACCATGAATGAGTTAAGTCTTCGACATAAACATTTCCTAAATTCGTCCCAAGTAAGGCAAATAACTGATGAGCAGAACAGGTTAAAACGATGAAAATAGTCCCGATACTTCATCACAAACTGGAGGGCTGCCAAAGCGATAACCCTCCATTTGTAGTCCAACTGTAAGTATAGGCGAATCTCTGCCAGACAAGGGAAATATTTTTTTAATGATTTACAGTGCATTTGTGATTATTAAATCAGCGCGCAATCCCTCGCATGGTGACCAGATTCCCGTCAGCAGCGCGGAGGGATATCAGCTGTGCGGCAGCGCCCTCTAGTGGACATCCGCGCAGAACTACCACCAACACAACAATCAGTCAGCATACAGATCAACACACGAGAAGCAGGTCAGCCGCTAAAAGATTTAATAAAAAAATGAAATACGCAGAAGCGCTCGTTGAATCTCTGCCAGACAAGGGAAATATTTTTTTAATGACTTACAGTGCATTTGTGATTATTAAATCAGCGCGCAATCCCTCGCATGGTGACCAGATTCCCGTCAGCAGCGCGGAGGGATATCAGCTGTGCGGCAGCGCCCTCTAGTGGACATCCGCGCAGAACTACCACCAACACAACAATCAGTCAGCATACAGATCAACACACGAGAAGCAGGTCAGCCGCTAAAAGATTTAATAAAAAAATGAAATACGCAGAAGCGCTCGTTGTACTAAAGCAGATCAAATACAAATGTTTCACAGATCAAATACAAAATGTAAAAAAAAAATAAAAAAAAAAACACCTCCAGTTCTGATTACTGTAACGTAAAAAAGGAAAATAGAACACGTTTAATTTGAAAACAAAATCAATGATTTCCCCAATTTGTTACATCACATCTTTTCCAACAGATAACAGCATCCCCAATCTCCACACACACACCTGTACACACACACAATTACATAAAACATCCCAATTAATAACTGCACAGTGCTAATTACACGTTTGCAGATAGCACCCATATCTAAACCTGAAAAACTTTAGGAATTTCTCTCTTCTTCTTAGCTTAAACGCTTCAGCAATTGCTGATTATTCTGAAAACGTATTTGAATTTGTGTATTGCAAAGTCCACCATGAACATGCCATTTTACACTTGAAAGCTCGCATGCTTATTTACTGGGGTGAAAGACGCTTTATTTAATACTTCCAGTTTTTAAACAAGTTAACCACCCACCCCTTTTTCAACATTGCAGGCTTAAAATATAGATTTACAAAGGCTACATTTGAGTCAAGGCATTAAAACGGGAGAAAAAAGGGAAAAGCAATTCATCAGTCGAGGGGATGTGCATTTGGAGAGCACTTGTGACCGAACACATCTGAAAGAGATATATATATATATATATATATATATGAAGACAATGAAAGGAAGTGACATCACAGCGGCCTCCAGGAACATGAAAAACACACTCTGCTTTGAGGAATAAGACAGAGACGTTCAGGATCAAAGCCAAACCAGCATTAACAGCGCTTCCTTTCACAACATCCTTTAATACCCAACTCAAGTTCACACAAGCACTTACATCCCAACCTCTGCACCTTCATCCATCGCACCTGTAACACACGAAAACCTCCGAAACACCTCGCCGAGACCCTTGACACGCACCCAAAACCCTTCCAAATAAAACCTGACAGTGCGGCTGCTTTGTGCACTTCTCAATATGAACACACAAAATCATCGTACACTGAAATCAATTTTTATACAAAAATACATGAACCTATTTGACTTAGTGGTTAAATCACATAGAAACTTTAGTCGGCTGATGATTTGGGCCTGAAAAGCGACATCAAGTTTTGAAAAAAAAAAAAATCACATTTGTCTTGTTCTGGTCACAAAATACCATATTTTGAACGTTCACAGTGTTATTAAGACAATATCTATATATGTAAACAAACACCGGTTTATATTCTCGCAGATCTCTAAATGACAGTAATACACTTTTGTGAGTAAATGTTGTCTATCGTTCCCTTAAAATCTGTTTACAGCATGAATTGAGCGATTAATGTGAGATGTGTACAGCCCAGATATCAGCACACGCTTCCACACACAAATATATTTACACATATATACACACCGGCTTATCAATCTTATCATGGGTCAGGCTGAAAGGCCCAGTGTAACTGACAAGTGGTTTGCCCATTAAACCTGATGTAACAGTTTAAAACCATACAGCGAATTAAAAAAATAAAAGAAATTCACATTAAATGAAAATTAGTCTCAACATGTAGTATGTTAAAACAGCACAGAATATAAAGAGATAAATAATTAAAATAAAAAACTCTCTCCTCTGGTCGTCTGGAGTGAAGACTTCTATTCGGGCAGAATTCACAATATAGACAAACACAGGCCACGCTGGAAAAGAAGCAGATTTATGCATTGAGCCTTGTTCAACAAGTTCATAAATGCATTTAAAAAAGACATTAAAATGATATTTAAAACCAATTCATGCTTTTGAGGGGAAAAAAAAAAAAAAAAGTAAATATTATCACACTTTCGAAACAAATAAAACTAAAAACCAAAGCAAAACAAAAACAAATTAAAAAAACTACAAACACAAAAAACACACAAAGAAAACAAAAAGAAATGAAATCCAAACAAGAAGAAAGCAAAGCAAAACAAAAACACCACAAAATAGCAAAATAAACTAAAAAAAAAAAAAATTTCAACAAATGAATACAAACAAAAACACACAAGGCAAAAAACTAATGTAAACAAAACAAAAACACCACATAAACCAAAGCAAAATAAATTAAACAAAAAGGCAAACAAAACAAAAAAGAAAAGCAAAAAACTAATAAAACAAAACAAAAACAAAGCAAAACAAACAAACAACAAAGCAAAAAAACTCAAATGAAATCAAAACCACACAAAAACAAAAACATAAATACAACAAAACAAAACCCAATAAAAACAAATAAAGACAAAACAAAAATACAAAACAACAAACAAAGCAAAGCAAAGGAAAAGAAAAGAAAACAACTAAGACGAAAGCAAATAAATGAAGACGAGCAGCTGATGGCATGCACTCTGGTGTGTTGGTTGTGATCAGGAGACTGCTGCTGACCTGATGTTGTTCAGCTCGCCGGATCACGGCTGATGTTCTCCTTCCCCGGAGGAGACGCGTGCCGCCCCCTCCTGTCTGCGCCGGGCTGACTCCCCAAAACCTTCTTCTGCATTCAAGCACAGTAACACTCTCAGTCTATAGTATACATGCACTCCTTCAAACACACAACGCTCCCTGCAGGCTATTCTTTTGAGAACCTTCCCAGAACGTTCCCTGCAGGGTATTTTAGGTTTAATTTTATAACCTGGAGCAGTGGTTCTCAAACTGGGGTACGTGAGGTGACGGAGGGGGTACGCCAACAAAATGCTGAGCTTTGGCATTCATTTAATTCTTCCCAGCAAAATGCCACTTCTAGTATAAAACCAGGAAAATGGGAGTGCTGCAAACACTCGTTTATTGATCTCTTTATTGAATAATTACTTATAATTAATATACATTCGAGAGTAAATACTGTGATTTCACAGAGATGTGACCCGTCTAATTGAGGAGAACATGATATTAACAGAGAAGTTTTTGTTTGCTGACCAAAAGACAGAACATCATCGTTAATTCAGTGGTAAGAAATGAATGTAACGTTATCCTAGTTAGAGTCAAATAAATGTTATTCATTTTTAATGTCTGTAAAAATAACATTTTTAAAACCAGATATTTTGTTGAAGTCATTGTTATTTGGTGCTTAAGAAACGTAATATCTGGGTTATTATATGGTACATGGTAGTTATAATAACCGTCTTCCATGCCTCTTATACTCTACAGGACGCAGGAGCGCTGGATGATTACTGACGTACAGCAGCGGTATATCGGAGTAAAGAGGGAACCTTCAGAGAACGTAAACAGACCATTCCGAGAACGTTCTATTTACGTTAAGAAAACTTTCCTGGCTAACCAAAAGGGAACGTTCTGGGAACCAAAAGTTGTTAGCTGGGTGAACGGTCACAGCACAGCTGCTTTATATCTGCCAGCAGACTGAGGACTGAACTAAAGGAGAGATGCCTTTAATAACTTCTGTGAATGTCACGGAGGTGAGAGTCGTGGGTGTGGTTTGATTAAAGCAGAGATCGAGAGATCTGACCTTGATGAGTCCGCCGAAGGAGCGCGAGCGCGTGTGTCTTTTACTGGTCGGAGTCGTGCTCTCGCTCACAGGAGTGCTGGGACTCGACGGCTTGCCGAGCTGAAAACATCAACAACCACACAAGAATTACTGCAAAAATCAGATGCGAGAATAACTAAATGAAAGTGCCACACTTCTAAACACAATTTTTTTTTTAATGAATCACAAAATAAATATAGCAAAAACGCACACTAATTTTTAAAAAGAGATCTGCTGCCTTTAGTATCGTATTAATATGTTAATAAAGCAATAAGCCCCAAGAAGCCGTGGTTTACAGTGAATTTATAACAGCTAAGGGGCGTTGTTAGGAACGTTTTATAATAATGCATACTGCAATAGTCTCAAAAGCAAGTTATGAATAATTACTCTAATTACAGCTAAAATAGCATGTAGTGTATTATTGTAGTGTCAATAATACTACTAATAATTCTATACTAATACTACTACTAATAATAATATATATATATATATAAATTGTACGCAAAATGTAGGGGTCTGTTGTAAATAGTATATTAATAAAAAAAAAATGTTGGGTTTAAAAAAAAACAACAATGTAATTATTGTAAAAATGTATGGTAACATAATAACAAAAAGTCAACTAAAAGGGTCTGTTGTCATTTGTATAGATAATATTAATAACAATAATAATAATAACAACAATAATAATATGCACACTTTATTTTGCTGAGTTAAAAACAAAATAATTATTGTAAAAATGTCATAAGTTAATATAATAAAAAAGTTATGATATGGTTATGATTATAATAATACTTATCGCAGTAGTGTCATTAATAGTAAGAAAAGGATGCATGATTTTTTATTTTTTTTTGTTTTCAATAATGACAAAATAATTATAGGGAAAATTAAAGCTAACAAAATATAAAAAAATACTAATATATTATAATATATAAAAAAAATAATGATGATAATGATAATAAACAGATTTTTATTTTATTTAAATTAAACTATTGGTGAAAATGTAGAAAAACAACATCAATGGTCTGCTGCTATTAAAGGGGTCATATGATGCTTTTTTAAAGATCATTATTTTGTGTATTTGGTGTAACAG